TGATCTATTTATTATTTAAAAATATATTATTTAATTAAAATTTTGATTTAACTAAAAACTTTTAGCCCCAGTTACAATCTACTATATTTAATTAGGTCCCATGTAATTAATTAAATAATAATTAGTTTGCCACTAAGCTGTGACTTAGTGACAAAATCACAGAATAAACTTATAATTGTTTAATGTGATTAAATATATGATTTGAATAAATCATATTTATTATTAATTATAATTAATATTTTAATTATTATAAAGTGAGTCAATTAATATTTTTACCATCAATTTAAATTATTAATTATATTAATAAAGTAAATTAACATATAGTCATAAATCACATTTAATTTTCTAAAAATATATATTTCCAAATTTACATATATTTTTCTTCATGAAAAAGCTAGGCATATGTAAATTAAAAAAAAAAAAGTAATAAAACCGAGTAAAAAATCTGAATAGAAATACGGAAATTAAAACGGAATAAAAAAATACGGACAAAAATTGTGACGGAGACGGCGCTGTTACAAGGCGGTTAAAGGGAATACCACGCTGCTATGCTCCGTTACTTTCTTACACTTTTACCGTTGACTTTTATAGCGGTGCACCAAACTTCCACGCACCGCCATATGCGTCCTAAACCGTGATGCAGATACACGCAAAAGTCCGGTATCATTAAATCTCAACCGTCTAAACTTCTTTACGTAAATCCCAAGACATCAAATCGACCGCTAGCGTATAAAAACACATGGCACTCCATATCTCCGCGTAGCACTAGATTATTTACCGCTCATCGTATGCATTCAGAGTCGTTTTAAGTATCCTGACTCCACCGTCATTCAGCGTTTTCTGGTTTTCGTCGTTGTGCTGAGGGGACACGTTTCTGAAATCAAATAGAACGATATTTATCAGATCCAGAGGAAAGGCGAGATAGTGAAAAGCGTCAATGCGGTTGATACGTATAGAGGCAGAGAGATATCAGAGATCGAGCAATTGATTGACAAAGAGATAAACAGTGAGATAAATGGATGTGGAGAGATCGTCGCTATGCAATTGCGTCGTGAATTTCTTGTTGGAGGAAAACTATCTATTGACGGCGTTCGAGCTCCTCCACGAGCTACTTGATGACGGCCGCGACGTCCACGCCATCCGCCTTAAGGAGTTCTTCTCTGATACTTCCCAGTTTCCTCCCGATCAGATCTCTCGCTTCAATACCCTTCGAGGTCCGTTTCTTTTCTTTCTTCCTTCCTATCTGTACACATCTTTTTATTGTTTATTCATTAGGTGATTGTTGTCTTGGTCGAACATTTGCCTATTTACCATTTATGCTTTTAATTATTTTTTTATTTCAGAGGAGTGAATTACAAAATTCTCTTAATTTTCCGCTGATTTGCTTGCTCTTTTCTCTAACCAAGCGCGTATTACGATCTTTACCTGTGATCCGAAATTGATTCAAGATGTCGCTTCTATAAAATGGTCCTTGAGTGCTACTTTGGATATAGCAACTAACAACTCTTTTGCTTGTACTTCTCCAAAATATATATAAAAAATAAATTGGTGTTTGAGAGAGTGCAGCTCAAATTTCCTAAAAAGCAAAGAAATCAAAATTTTAAAATTAAATACTGTTTGAGATTGTAGTGGAGATAACAAGGATTTGTGTTGAGCTTGGGGATGAATTTCCTGGCTTAGAGAGTCGAGCAATTCATTTGTGGTAGGATCCAGTTTGGACAAATGATATTCGAGATGTCCCTATACATCTAGAACATGGAAAAATGGAAGTTGTTAAGAGAATTTTCTGGCTATAATCACAGTGACGTGTGTATACCTTTTACTGCTATTTTAACTTCCCTGTAAGGGGTTAAAAGCAAATTTACTTCATTGCATGCTTATATGTGGTCATTATTAAAAATGCTGTGCTGTCATTTGAATATACTCTGTTAGACTTCTTTATACCAGCTGAAGTAGAGGTAAATCCACAGCCACTATGATATATGAATCACCTCAATGTAGGAAATTGTGTACAATGGAGATTGATGAAGAAGCAAAAGAGGTAGGGATAGGATACGATTTTCGTTTCCAACATAAAAGAATAGATTTAACAGGATTGTTTCTGGTTCTTCACTGATTGACAACTATGGAAGTGTAAACAAGAGCAATTTGTTTAGGATCAAAGGTAATTGAGAATGCTTGGTGAAACAAATAATATGGCTTCTTTAGTAATCATGGCAAGTAAGTTATATAGAATATTTGGAGAATGGTATCTGTCTTGTGGATATACTGACCAAGAAAAGGAAGTAAGGAACATAGATATTTTTTTCCTTTTCAATTGGAATAAGCGACCAGCAAGGAAAAACTTATATTATTTTGGAATTTGCTGCGGTCTACATGCAGAACTGTGGTGGAACCTTTTTTTTTTTTTTTAAGAACATTTACAGTGTTTTTTCTTTTTCCAATGAACCAATCAGAGCTTGGTTGAGCTATTTTTTAATGTATTTTCCTCTGTGTATCTTATACTATTCTACATGCACAATTTTGGTGAGGTCTTTTTCAGCAACATTTTCAGTTTTATCATTCCAACGAACCAATCAAAGTATAGTTGAGGTGTTTTCTGAGAGTAGAGCTTAGTTTAGCTGTTTTCTCGATACTGTGGATTTATTTATTATCTTATGTTTCTTTTATAGATTACGGGAATCTTTCTGCCGTGTTTATTATAATCAGTTTTAATCAATTTCAGACCTAGGTGCCTTTATTTCTTTGATTCAAAGATACTGTTCTTATCTTTCCCTCCCCCCCCTCCTTTGTTTCGGGGGGATTTTAAGTTGAGTGTATGATTTAGTCCAAGCCTCAGTGACTATTTGGTCAGGAGTGATTTTTTTTTTTTTCCCTTTTATTGTTGAACACTTCAGCACCCTGGATTCAGAGCACAACTAATATATTCTGTATAATTTTATTTTAAAAAAATATCTTCTGTATAATTGCTTCTGAAATGCAGTTGTAGACCCCCAGAGTTTGCTTGAAGAGAAAGAAGCAATTGAAGAGAAACTAGCAATTAGCGAATATGAGCTTCGCTTAGCTCAGGAGGACATTACAAGGTTGAAAGCTGAACTAGAGAAGAAAACAGATTTCCCTGTGGATAAGTTGAATGGTAATTTTTGTTATATGTAAATTATTTGCTATTCTTGCTTCTTTTATGGGTCATTCTAAATGAGCAATTCAAAATTGTAAAGTTTGCAAATGCCCTACATTCAATCTAAAATAAGAACACTGGACTGTCGAGGCTTCAAGTGATGCTAACAAAATGTACGGGTGAACCATTAATAAAACTTATATGGTCTATTCTTTATATAACTGTATCTGTACATATAATAAAGTCCAGTTCTCGTTACAATGTTATAGAATTCATAATGTTATTTGACTGAGTTCTTTGTTTCTAACCATGTTGCATTTTAGTGACTAATATATTGACCAATTTGTGATGCAAAATATAGTTGTTGGTGAATTTTAGCATTTATTCTTATTATATTTACTCTCTTCATGTGGTTGCTGGCACACTAGTAACTATTTACATGCTTATCATATGATCACTTCCAGACCCAAATGCAGAAAATTTTATAAGCCATGGTCCAGAATTTCAAAGGCAGAAAAGAGATGGTTCCTATTCTGATTTGGGGCCTTTGAAGAATCATGAACGCAGAGATCTGAACTGTGCTGTAAAAGAATATTTGATTATAGCAGGATACCGGCTAACTGCAATGACATTTTATGAAGAGGTATATTAGACTTACAAATGCATAATTTGATTTTGTTCTTGTTCCTGAATCCTGACATAATTGTTTATTTCCTTAGAATTCTTGGTCATTGAAATTGGTGGCTTTCCTTAGAATATTTGATTATAGCAGGATTCCTCTTATTACTCAAAGGAGCTTTTCAGTGATGAGGACCAAGGTAGTGACACATGATACCTGCAAAAAAGCTCCACATTTGAAACCTTCTTAACAAAGATAAATTCTGATTTAACTAGGTTAAACTTGAGCCTGAAGACCACCTCGAAACATTAAATGATGTGTCTAATGTGTGAAGAGACTTTCTGTTGGCACTGCAAACCAGGATTTTGTCATTTGCAAAAAGCTGGGGGATTGTGTTCTCTCTTTCACCACCTGCTGGCCCTTGGAGCAAATTTAGATTCCCAGCTCTTGCAATTGTACTGTTAAGAGCCTCCATTAACTAGAAGTCAGGGAGGTTTTCTCCTTGCCTCAGGCTTTTCAAAACTCTGAAGTGTCTTGTGCATCCCTCATTGACCAGGAATGCAAAAGAGGAAGAAGATATGAAAACCCTAATCATCGCCACCATCTATCCCAAAGCCATGTCTTTTCTACAGATATCCTAAAGATATGATCATATGCCTTCTCCATGTTGAGTTTGGAATCAGGCCTTTTTCTCCGTTCTTCGACAATAATCCACAATTTCGTTGGTCAAGGAAACTAGTATATGACTTTGATGCTTACTTATTTGCTGCCATGGGGTCTGTTTGTATACATTTCATTCTTAATGTGTTGTGACATTGAAAATATTGTAATAAGTGATCAATGGCTTTGATCTCAGGTTACCGATCAGAACTTAGATGTTTGGCAGGATTCTCCTGCATGTGTGCCAGATGCCTTACGACATTACTATTATCAGTATCTTTCATCCACTTCCCAGGCTGCTGAGGTACTTTCTTATACAAATGCGGTTTAAGAGTCACATTATTGTTTCTTAAATAAAATTAGACAGATATTCATAGTTGAATCAAATATCTAGGGCAGAAAAAACTATTGTTGAACCTTTTCTTTTTCTTTTTTTCCTTCTGTTTCTATCTTTTCTTGATGTTGAATGTTTTGGCAGGCTTTCTCTCAATGTATAGCAACGGGATAACAATTAATCTTACTCATTTCTTTTAAATAATTATTGTTTCTAATTTTTGAATTTATACTTCTTTGTATCTTTCTCTGGAATATTTATATTGGCAGTGTCTAATTTGTTAATACATGTTCCCTGACATTTCTTTAAAATTGAACCCACCAAAATCTGCATTGGCAGTGGACAGATATTTTTACATTTTGAATTTCTTGTAATGGTAATGGTTATCGTGCTGCAGGAAAAAATTGCCATGCTCAAAGAGAAAGAGTCCTTACAGAAAGCAAATGAGGGGCTAAATCATGAAAAGGAGTTCTTGCTTAAGAGTAGAGATTTAGCTGATGGTCAAATCATTGCATTAACTAAATCCTTAGAAACACTTCAGAAGGATATCAAGGACAGAGAAAAGCTGGTTCTTCTCTCTTATTACCCTGCATTTTTGGGAGTTGCTGCTGTATTCACAAATTCATATATAAGAGTGCACAAACAGAAATTTTTTGTTCCTTCAGGTACAAGATTTGAAGCAGGCCTTGGAACGCCAAAGAAAAGAACTAAATGATTGTAGATCTGAAATTACTGCACTGAAAATGCACATTGAGGGATCTCGTTCTGGGCGAATTCTGGTGGCGGCTGAGGTTGACTCTGCTCATTCCCAGTCCTTCAAGAAATACAAGGAAGAGATAAGATCCTTGCAGATGGAAATAGAAAGATTAAGGGCTAAAAATGCAACAACTTGTGATTCTGTGGATTCTGAATATCCTCATAAGGAGTCTGTGCAAACAGAAGAGAAAACTGTTGATATAGATGAAGTTAAAACTATAATTTCTTATCCTGCTGATGCAACCAGAGTATTAGACAGTGAAGAAGCTGGGTCATTGGTTACTCAAGTATTTGATGAGAGTTTAAGTAAACCTGAGGAAGTTTCAAGCATGTTGGGAAGTCCTTCAAATGAGTATATTTCGTTTGAAAATGGTGAAAGTGTCTCGAAGAAAGATCCTGAGCCTGTAATGGAAGATAGTGGCTTACATCTAAAGTTGGAAACTACCAACAGTGAAGCTGCTTCAGAGAAAATGGCAAGTTTATGTATTGTTTTAGAACATCATATTAGTTCCCTCCAAGGTCCTCTAGTTTTTGTGTCTGGGGATTGCATACAAATGGGTCTGTGCTGCTTATGAATATATTGATCGTTGTGCCTGTGAAATTCAATGGTGGCACTTTCTTGTAGATAATAGTATAACATCAGAAACTTGTGTCATTTCGTCTTTTTTTTCCTTCTATTTCCTTTTCCTTGCTATCTATGCAATGGAAATTTATTATGGTAATATCTGACTTACTTTTATGCTTTGACAGGGTTTAGGAACTATTCAGATCCTTGCAGATGCTTTGCCCAAGATTGTACCTTACGTTTTGATCAACCATCGGGAGGTCCACTTTTGATGTCTCTCTCCCTTTAACAAAAACATAAAATATTTAAGTTTTGGTTTGATGGTATTTGTGTTATTTCTGTGCAGGAGCTTCTTCCCCTCATGATGTGCGCAATTGAGCGCCATCCAGATAGCGGGACACGAGACTCCTTGACTCATACGTTGTTTAACTTGATTAAACGCCCAGATGAACAGCAGAGGCAAATCATAATGGATGTGGGTTTACTGTATGAAGTGTTTCATTCAAGTTTAGTGATGACTCTTTCTTTTAACATAATAATGTTCTTTTCCATTTCAGGCATGTGTTAACCTTGCTAGAAATGTAGGAGAGATGAGAACAGAAACAGAATTGCTGCCCCAATGTTGGGAACAAGTGAGTTTAATTCTTTTCTTTGTAAATGACTTCCAATCCTTGTATCAAATCACCTTTTTAAGATTGAGGTTTCATTTTCATTCTTGTCATCAATTGCAGATAAATCACATGTATGAGGAGCGTAGGCTACTTGTTGCTCAATCCTGTGGAGAGCTTGCAGAATTTGTCCGACCGGAGATACGTGATTCTCTTATTTTATCTATTGTGCAGCAACTGATAGAAGATTCTGCAACTGTTGTTCGAGAGGCTGCTGCTCATAATCTGGCTTTGTTGCTTCCGCTCTTTCCAAACACGGACAAATATTTCAAGGTCAGCCTCACTAAATATGCTTCGAGGCAATCATGGAGAAGAATTCTGACTTGACAGATTTGGCTACAATGTAAGCTCTAGAACAGCTGGTGACAAATGGTCTAGGGAATGGAGCTTTTCCTGTTGGCATAATATGATGACATAGAGTCTAGAAGATAAAATGGTTAAAAAGTGAGTTTCTTCAGCCTCATTCTGTTTATTGATAGTTGAGAGTTGCTGTCAGTTGTCTGTGATCC